CGGGACACTACGCACTGAGGAACCTGGAGCCGGCGTCAGGCGCTCCAGGCCCAGTGGCTGCAATGCGGCTTCCATCAACAACTGCTTTAAACAAACAACAACTGCAATGCGGCTTCCAACAACAACTGCTTTCTTTGTTCTTGGCTTGAACGCCTTGCAAATCTTACACGGCTCAGTTTGATGTTCTTCCCCCTGGCAACGTAGACACGAGCCGTGGGGTCACTAACTGGCATAGGCCTGCAGCACGTGGCACAAGCCTTCACCCCGTGGGCCTGGAGCGGGTGCTGGAAACCTCCAAGCACCTAATCATTTAAGTGTCCAGAACAAAGGTATGCTAACTAACTGATAACAGCTATCTATGAGAAAGGCTAAAGGATTGCTCTCATCCGAGAGAGAGGTTGTTCCAACGCTGCCACGGACGGCAAGAAGGAACCGGAGGGGGTCGGGCGGCAGGGGTATATATGCATGGCGCAGTGGCGCCACTCCCGGCGGGGCCTGCTAAGGGGAAAAGTTTCCAACACTCATGCACGCGACGCGGGCTCACCTAATGTGGAATGGACATGAATAAGCACTCGAAGAAGAATTGAAGTTTACAGTAGCCAGTTTCTTTGGCCTTCAAAATATTCTCGCTAACAATACAAACCGGACAAAGAATTTGCTCGCTGTAAGTTTCTCAAGTCTTCCTGTCAAACATTCAAATGTTTACAAGAAGGTTTAGTTCCAAATGATTATGTGCTGAGAAAGTAACAGGTTTATTTTGATCCAATTTAAGTCTGTTCATTTCAGTTATCGACTTGCATCTGAATGCACTAGTATATTAAACCTGTGTTCTGAACCTAAAGGCTATTCAGTTGTCTACATGGGATAAGTTAGCAGTCTTGGTCCAGTTCCTAGTGGACACAATCAAAACTGACACCATTGTTTCAAGTCTCAGCAGAAGTGCCAAGAATTTAATATATATGGAGATTGAATTGGTCTGATATGTATGCCACAGTCCAGGAACATTGAGAGTGGCATCATGAGAAACCTTACAATGCAACTGTTCGTGTTGTATTTGCACTACATTTGAGAGACTACTTTCTCCAACATATGTTAAATCTGGTACTTTCCACAGCATTATATTCAGTTTAACAGAGTTTACTTAACCTAATAAAGCCAGTGTTCACTTATTTAAGATGTAGCACAATAAAATGTACAAATAAAGTCAATTCGAATATTTATCATAGCAATTTTAATGATACAATAAAAAGCTACTGAGGCTTTCAGATTTTTATTTTATTGTGGTTTTATATGTAGATATAAAACCTGCAAAGCACTTTAAAAGAATATCACTCTTCTTGTGTCATACATAAAACTAGTTTCATACTGTGCTTCTGAAAGTCTAGTGTGCATTTTGTTCTGTTTATTTTACAAATGGCACATTCAACTTTAAAAGTGGGAGCATGAGTTTCTATTGACTGCAATCCATCATTGCATCCAAAGCAAGAGGTTTCCTTATGATTAAGTTAAAGTGTGAGTGCATTGTGTAATAAACAGTAGCAGTCTGGTCATTTAATCTCAACTCAGCATACAATAAAATAAACAGTTGTGCTTCACAAATTTGAATCCTGTGATATAAACATCAGTTTTCCTTCTTTTTGTAATACCCCAAAGGTTAATTACTGCTTGAAATGAACACTTCCAAACAGGCACGATTGTTTTAACCTTGCTCTGCCCAAGGCTTCTGTTTTCTTTTAAGACTGGTCTGACATACAAGACACATTAAGGCACAAGTGGGCAGTACAAACAACAAATGAATACAACTATCCATGAAACTCACGTTCTCTTCCACAAATACTAAAATATGTACCGATTAAGATAAATTTCTTTTTAAAAATGAAATACACCATTTTGTTATGAAACTCCTATACAAAATTTTAAAATTTACACCATCTGAGCTGCCAAAGAGTAAAAATGTATCCATTTTCCACATAAAACTATATTTCTCACCAGCATATCTAACAACTGGGAAGAAGATACCCCAGCACTTAGGAAAAATCATATTTCCCCACATGTAAGACAAAAATATGGCACTACCTATACAGTAGTGTACTCTATTTATTAAAAACAAACTAAACTATTAAAAGTACAATATTGATTTGTAGATTATTGGTTCAATGCCTGGCTGAGATAAGGCACTTTCTTCCAGTGATCAGCACCTTCCACATACAAGGAGATGATGAATCAGGTTCTGGTTAAAAACAAAGGGGTCTGAATGACGTCCCAGAAGACGACAGGAACATTTCAACAGCAGGGGAAGACACAGGAGGTAAAACCTGGAGATGTAACTCTACACAGAAGTGGTCACTCTGTCAATGGCATTAGTGACCTCGTTTTTGTTTGAATCCAGTCCTTTAGCAGCATTCATATCATTCCGTAAATTCTCCACTGTCTTTTTCATGTTCTTTAACTCTCCAGGATGTGGAGTGGCTCGCCTTAGAAGTGTTCTCTAAAAACAAACAGTGGAGTAAACGGTTTTGCTTTTGTCTTTTTGAACCACACACACTTTCAAGGTTTTAGCATTTAATACCAAATATTAGCTATAACATGATTTTTAAAAATCATAATGTTAATTTCAAGATATGTTAATTTCATAGCTGCTTGTTGATGAAGTCAGTGAAAGAGGTCTTTTGGGGGGGGGTGGGGGAGAACAGACTCTGGGCACATAATTTTCCTAATCTGCCCTATTAATTTGAAATCCACATCAAAAGAAGTTCCCAGATGTGTGTTTGTGTGTTTGTTTGGGGGGGTGGAGGGGGTCATGAAAAAACTATATGGGATTTTCAAAACCGCTGAAGTGATTTAGGAATTAATTCCATTAACCAAACAAAACAGATGCTTTTGAAAAAATCCCACAACACCTCTCTGTGATGTCTCTCTATATGGTCAAGTAAATGTCTGTGTGATGTTCTACTCTCCTTCCATCATCAAGACATGGATTAGATTATGTTTTGCCAAATAGACACTGAACTTGGAGGGAAAGAGAGGGAACATAACAGTTTATTTTCAGTAATTCTGTACCATCTGCTAGAGAAGGATATGTCCTTATGTTGGAATATGTGCAAGGAAAGTTGACAAAAGCTAAATGGAAAGATAATTTACTTGCATAATTTGAATAACCAGTGAATTAGCTTTTAATTTTCTTTTTAAAAAAATCTATACCACATTAAGTATAACAGCATGAGTGTGTGTGCAGGTGCATATGTATATAATTTTTAAAAATAAGTATTTTGTGTACTATTTACATTATTACAGTAGCATTAGTGAACTATAAGGGGCATACATTGGGAATTAACGACTAGCTGAATAAAACACTTTTTTGATTAGATCACAAAATGATTTACATACATATTTTTTTTCCAGTATCAAAAGTCGACTGCTTCAGGGCAGTCTGTAAATCCCCAAGTAATGTCCTGTACTTGAATTTTTAATAGTGTTTCAAAGTGCCTGCTGTTCAGAGTTCATTACAAGTGGTTCAATAAGAAGAGGTAGAAGTTTTAAGAGTTTAGTTAAAGATTCTTATTTCACAACTTTATGTGGTTAAGTTATGAAAAGTGACACCTTATTCAAAACGCAGTTCTGCTGCGTGCTGCCCCAGTCACATATGCTGCCTTCAGTGACCAAATTTAGTTTTACTACTTTTTACTCCAGTTAGCCCTGCACAAATGACACAACTGAAGAAAAGTAAACTAGATTATATTCCCCCTTGTGTATTCACAAAAGTTGCTTACTAAGTTTCCATCAGCTACCCCTGTGGAAACCAATACGAGGCAATCACAGCTGGCACAGATGTCAGGGGGACTAATCTGATCTGCTAAACCCTTTACTCCTGGTTCTGAGAAGGACAGACCCTAGCTTGTCAGATCCCTCGTTCAGTTTACAGAGCAGGTAGTAAGGAAAAAATATATCTGTACACTTGTAAAATGAGCATATTTGATATGCAAGTGATTGTTAAAAATACTGTCTGTTTCAAAGTCACTCTTCAGAATAAAGCCATACTGCTAGCATGTCTGGAGTGTTATAATTAAGATGTTCTTGAGAGAGTACAGATCTGAAAATCCCCATGTTTGGAGATTTTTTAGATTTGTGTTTTGATGCAGGCTCACTTCAAATTAGGCTGAAGGCGAAGACATCAGCATGCCTCCGAAAATGTGCATGCAAAATTGGTACTATCAGCAAGTTTTGAGAGACATTTAGGAGTCTGCGGAAAGTTCTTTTGGCGCTAAAAGTCTCAATATTTACAAGTAGCTGCTGTTAGTGAAGCAAAGCCATTACAAAAGAATGCTTTATTTCAAAGACCACCTCAAATTTTTTATTTCCAGGGAGTATGAAATGACCATTTAATGGAGGTCTCATAAGTACAGTGACAGATGCTCCCAATAGCCCTTCTTCATTTGAGTTGGAAACAGCATGCACCAATGTGCCACATGCCATCTGATTATGGACACTATGTTGGTATCAATACATATGGTCATGAGATGAAGGAGGGGTAATGAAAGTGGGGGAAAAGACAAACATGATAGTGGGGGTAGAAAACTCAATGTGGACGAATGTCGGAGTGTAATAACTCAAAGTTACTGCCTAAAGGACATAGAGTCCAAGGCTTACACCTTCCACAGAGCAGAAGAAGACCCTACTCCTATCCTGCTTTTGGAAAACTGGAAGGAACCATCCTAAAAAAATAAAGAAAAAACAGACTAAAATTTTCACAGTAAGAGAGTCTTGTTTTAGCAGAACTGAAAGTTGTATTTGATTTAAGCAGATAAACAATACCAAATTTAAAAAGCCTTTTTAAACTACTATAAAACCAATGTTTAACAGCTCTGCTATAAACATAGAAAGTCTGCTACTACTGTTAGAAACTTGGAATGTTTAAGGCAAGATGTAGACAGTTCAAACACTTTTTACTCTTTTGCATTTTAGTCACTACTTGTGTAATAGCGTATGTTTGAGAAACGTACCATTTCATTATCCTCTTCATCTTTTTCATCATCTAAAAAGCGGATTGAACTGATTCTGTTTACTGCACGCTCATTCCAGGTTTCATCTGACATTTCAGTTACCAAGCTCTCAAATGCACCACATCGGGGCAGGTTATCTGTTATAATGGAAACAAACAAAGCTGAACCTTCTCAAGAAAGAACATGTTAACATATATTATGAGGACTTTGGGGTTTAATTAATTTCATTTTGCAGGGTTTGTTTTTAGTAATTTTTAACTTTTATGTAGATGTCCAAAAATTGGGTGGGTTTTGGGGCTCTTTGTATATAATATACATTACTAATTACATTACTTGTTACACTGTATCCTACTGTAACAAGTAATCTCTTGGTAATGTTACCTCGTGCACTTTAACTTAGTACTGTTTCAAACAGCACAACATTAAAATGCACTGGGGAACCTTTAGTGCACACCACCACCTCTATACAGGCCAGTTAATGTGCAACATGTTAGTGAATTTTAGACATCACACCCTTGTCTGCATTAGTATTCCATATAGACAAGCCCTTAAGTACAAGTAACCATTTCTGGCATTTTTCCAGTGAAACATTCATTTTTTTGTATTGAGGGTGTTATCAGCTAAAACTGAAAATTAGAAGCCCTAATTATGACCTACTCATCCCATGCAAAAATTCTACTGACCACTCACTTAGTCAAGCAATTTTATTTTTGACAGAAGAGAAAGCAGTTTTTCCATTATCAAGCATTCATCACGAAGGAATATGTAGAGTGTATGTGTTTGGTTAAAACTATAGTTTTGGATTAACTATCTGGCTAAGAAATGAGCCAAAAGGTTTGTAGCTAATCAACAGGCAACAATACAACATTTATCAACTCTCTGTCATTGGCTGACATGATGTCATGTTAAACAAGTGGATGAGACAGTGGCTGGTAATCCAAGAAGCTGGACCCACTACACTTATTTTGTTTACGTCAGGACTATGGTCTTGTGTGCCACCCAGTTTCCTACTGTGACAAAGTTCCTGCTCTATCTTGGTGGGTCTTGCGCTTATTGGTGGATTTGCTCGCCTTGGAGCTTCACGGCAGCCCTCAGCTTGGCCGTTTTTCTGAATTCACAGTCCAGGTCGACTCCTCCTGTGTCTGACCAGGAGTTGGGAGGATTTGGGGGGAACCTGGGCCCGCCCCTCTACTCCGGGTTCCAGCCCAGGGCCCTGTGGAATGCAGCTGTCTAGAATGCCTCCTGGAACAGCTGTGAGACAGCTACAACTCCCCGGGCTACTTCCCCATGGCCTCCTCCCAACACCTTCTTTATCCTCACCATAGGACCTTCCTCCTGGTGTCTGATAATGCTTATACACCTCAGTCCTCCAACAGTCCGCGTTCTCACTCTCAGCTCCAAGTGTCTCTTGCTCCCAGCTCCTCACACCACAAACTGAAGTGAGCTCCTTTTTAAAACTCAGGTGCCCTGAGTAGCCTGCCTTAATTGATTCTAGCAGCTTCTTGATTGGCTGCAGGTGTTCTAATCAGGCTGTCTCAATTGTCTCCAGAAGGTTCCCGATTGTTCTGGAACCTTCCCTGTTACCTTACCCAGGGAAAAGGGACCTACTTAGCCTGGGGCTAATATATCTGCCTTCTATTACTCTCCTATAGCCATCTGGTCCGACCCTATCACACTACCTATCAGTGACACCCCTCCCCCCCCAAGAGTAGCATGCCTAAACCCCCTTCTCTAACCAGGCTATCTAGGTTCCACTCTTGCCACCCCCAAGCTTTCAAAAATCAGCCAGGTTCTCAAAAATCATGACATGGCTTTTTTGAAAATCATGATTTTTAAGCCAAACAAATAAAATCTTGGTGCTTTTTATTTGCCTTCTGGTTTGAGATTTTAGGATTCAGATTTTCAATCTTTGTCTCTGAAACTATGGGCACTAAAGGGTTAGGGGTTTTTTGGTTTTTGTTTTTAAATTAAATAGATTCTCATGTAATCCACATGCCTCTTGGAGTTGGCCTTTAAGACAGACACCAAATATAGAGAATCACAATAAAATTGTGAGAACCGACAACACTGAGCAATCACCACAGTATCTGAGTACCAATAAATAGCTGTTACTTTTGTGGGCATATCTGACCCTTCAGATATTGGGTTGCCACAGAAGTTCTAAAGACTCAACTGAGCCCCGAAGGGACTAGTTACACATGAGGGAACAAAGCAAAAGAGTTCGTAATTTAACTGACCCCACCAATCCCTCACCTATTCTTTTAAGACTGAAATACCAAGTTACTGCACAGTATTTACATTTGAGAGAAAGCCTGTTGACCCCTTTTTGACAGAATGGCGACATTCTAGGGATGATAATGCCTATTTTTTATGACATCTGCTATTAACTCACCTGGATTTTTCGAGTCAAAACTCAATCTTCAGCTTCCAACTCTGTTCCATAGCCACATACACAAGATTGAAAAACATATATCCACTTTGTACACATGTGCTTCACTACCGAGCTCTCATGGATTTGGGGGGTAAGAAGATAATTATGCTTGCTTACTTTGTATTTTCGTTAAATAAATTCACACTTATATAACTGATGTAGAGGGGAGGTAAATCAATTTACTTAACAACTTACCCACTGGAGTTAAAATCTTTTGAGACAGTGAATAGTGAAAGGCAGAAGAGAAGCTCTTTAAAGGTGAACAACGAAAATGTTATCCGTTACCAAATATTAACTGTTTTTGTTATGTTTTTTTAAACAAAAGCTAAATAAACTAAAGATAAACTAAAGCTTTTTGTACAATGCTGGGGGGGAAAGATTCCAGACAGTAGATTTTTAAGATGACAGTTCTGCTGTACGTGGAAATGATTTTCAAAGTATACCATACCTTGGCAACTGGGCTCAGAAGGCATTTGAGGAAGTAAAACACATGTTAAAATTTTCTCTCCTGTTTCAGGGTCTGTGTCAGTCTGGAACATCAGCAAAGGTTGGGACTGGTTATCAGACAACCACAAAGCCTTCAGCTTCAAGGAAGTCAGTGACAGAGGAAGATGTATCAGCCTAATTTAAAAAGAAATGGAAAGTCTGAAATTTCAGGCCAGTTTCTAAGAGACTTAATAAATCAACCTGCCCAACTGGGCAGCGAACCAGTTGCACACCTGCATATGGTTTGATTTCAAGTAAAAATAAAGATGACTCAGCGAACTGGCTAACCATCTCACTTTATACCTTGTGCCAGGCCTGTTCTACTCAGCTGTTTCTCATTATGCTTAGATGTAATTTGGAGCAGGGAATGTCTTTTCATTGTGTGTGTACAGTGCTCACCATAATGGGGCCCTGGTTCAGGCCTCTACTTGTGCAACAATATAAACAACAAATAAATGAATCCAAAACACCACTGCATGACATGAGATCTGTAAGCCCAGTTTTTATGCTGATAAAAAAGTATAACCTCTGTTGTCTTAACATTTATATGATTAACCTGATTATCAAACTTCCCATTTAGAAGGATCAGCTGGCATTAATGAGTCAATTCACCAGACTTCACCTGAAGCCAAGATCTCTTTGTTTTAATTTAAAGTCAGAAGAACATGAAGTGAAAAAGTTAGACTTTTCTGTTCCTGGCTGAAGAAAACCTGAAAGTCATGATTGGAATCCTATATTTTTATGTGTATTTGTCACAAAGGTAGTTTTGACACACATACGTATTGGCAGGGTTTGGAATTACATTTGGCCAGAGAGCAGGAACATATTGCCAATTTCAAAGTATTGTGAAATTCGAGTATAAGCTTTTTTTGCTGCTTCATTCTAAGACATCAAATCTACATGTCTTGACTGAGTATGAAGCAAAACCAGCATGGTAACAGGACACTATAAAATATCTCTCACCTGTTTCCAGCTACATCCAGGACATGCAGTTCAGTGGCTTGTGAAATCTCAGAGGGAATTCGAGATAATCTGTTGTCACGCACAGAAAAGACATTAAGACTGCAGCACCCCCCAATCTATATTAAAAAGAGAGGAAAACTATTTTTGTTGCAGAACCATATTGTAAGAAAGGCATGTCACATAGATTGCACAAGATGTCACAGCACATTCAAATTATAATGGCTTCAAGTCACAGACTGCAAATTAATAATATTAATGAGATAACAGATCTCTAGACAGTCTCTTTTAGTACTTTCATGAACAATAAGCTTGTAAAACTATAAAGTTCATTATTTAGAAACAAAGAGGTCAAGATTCTGCCTCACCTGTTCCTGCCTTCTGCTGCACAACCAATTATCTCAGCTGCACAGGTCATCTGTATGCGTCTCCCAGCAAATGTTAGTTTTTACCCCTCAACTTTTTCTAACCTTATATTTCAGCATTAACATTCTTGGATTGTTTTTGTACCTCACCAAGCACAACAGAGCTCTGGGCAATATAAAATGTTAAATAAGCCAGTCAGCTCTTAACGTTTGTTGAGATTGCGGTCACTAGAGTCAGCAACTAGCAACAGTGTGAGACAAAGTAATAAACATCTTACAAATAAATGTCTTTGGTATAGCTCAAACAGTGACACCATTGTTTTATTAGAAGTTTCCAAAACTCATCCCTTCTTTCCCATACAAGCTGCCCAATATACTCTAATATCCTCTGCCTCCAGCCTTTTTCCAAATGTGATCATTTAACTCCCTCCATCCTGCCAACTAAGCTTACCTCATCCACAGCACTCCACATGGGTAATATATCCTCTGTTCATCACAGATACAAGTTTCTACACCCGGACTTTGATGCAAAATATATTTTCACATAAAATGCATAGTTAAAAATAGCATTAAATTGGTAAAATCCAGCTTCAATGACCTTTGCTCTGGATGGCAACTACTGATAACAAGAGTACTGAGGTTATTGAATTCACCCAGCAGAAAGCTTCTTCAAGCAATTCACTGGTTGTTCTCCTTCAGATGAGAACCTTACTTACCTTGGGTCTGCTAATCTTATATATGTTCACAAAACAAAGAACAAAAATCCCTCTTACTTAAAAGTATATTTCTTTCCCCTTAATCCATGTATTAGGCCAAAATATCAGAAGCCTTTTGAAACTTTCAGATCAAGTTGATTTAAAACCTGACTGCATTAGTAAAAGCAGAAGCTACAGATGTGGATCCTAGTCTAAAAAGTAAGACTCTTTCTACACATATATACACACACACAATTTAAGTAGTTTAATAATATTTTATTATTCAATTAATTAATATTCCCTCTCTCAAGTGAACCAATATATAATTGATATTATCCAGGATGCCTCCCCTTTAGCAGCTTTCTCTCCAACATGAAATGTTTTCTATTGTCAGCAACATCACCAATGCCACTCTCTTGCTAAAAGAGTAGGCTCCTTTGTAAAGCAATATGGTTCTTTCATTACAAACAACATTCAAAGTTCTTAAAATCCTTGATTACGGATCTTCAAATTACTTGTGTTAGTACCAACTAGCTATCAGAGCAAGCTCTACCTTGGCCAAAGCTAGAAATTAATAATCAAAAATCCATCTAAAATTAAGCTGTGTGTTGTCTCCAAACAAAATAATATGTTTTGATCATATGCATTTAACCCACTACTCCCTTTCTCCTGGGTTAATAAAGGTTTTAACATATTGGATTAAAAAACCCTAACCAAAACAAAAACATCCACCACCTTCATCTACATTTACATATATTTTCATGGACAAATGCAGTATTTAACTATACTAGAAATTGGCATTGAAAGCATAAGCAAAAATGTTAAAATTACAATTCTTCTGCTAATTACTTTATTTCACCACCTCTTTGCAGCATCAAGTGACCACTCACTCAAATTGTTAATTAAGTTGTCTTGACAAATTCACAGCATTTGAGGTGCCATCTAGAAAAAAAAATCAAATCTATTCAGTGTCTAATTGGTGCATCTAATATGAGGAGCTGTGAGGACAACAGCTACAGTTAGTGAATGTTAGATGAGCTGGCAAGTGATGACTCACCATACACAAAGTGTTTGTTTTTCTATGAATGAAGTTTGAGTAATTCAATCTTGGGAGCATGAGGATCTGAACAATTTTGCCAGACAAACAGAAAAAGCCATGCAGCCCTGTTGGGATACCCCACTAAGCTGAAAATTTCTATACTTTGACAATGAAGAATGTGCAGTGGAGCCAGCTGGTTTGAGTCATCATGCATTTAAAGCACTTAAATGAGAGATAATAGAGCAACTGTGGACTGAATAATATTTAAAAGGTTACAAGTTTACCTGACTCAATTTTCCAAGCAGCTAACAATTAAGAAAACACAAGAGACATTCATTTGATTTATTCTTCATCATCTGTACTGGATGGACCATACTATGCTAAAAATGGAGATAAAACATAAATCCCATCTCCCCTAAAGAGCTGCCAAAATTCACATGTGGCTGCTGCTACCTCAATTACTTTAACATGAACTATTCATCAGAACATAGTCTAATAATAAACTCACAAGTCCAGACCATTTGTATTTCAAAATAAAAAATTACACAGACAAAATACTGGAAGCTGTTTATGAAACAATGTTCTTCCATGGGGGAGATAGCATATATTGAGCAATTAACGTTAAGGGAAAACTTTATGACAGGATAAATGAATCATTTGGAAGATAAGCGTTTGCTACTATTTCAAGAAAAGAATGCATCCACCCAGCATTGTAGGAAGACACCAGGACCGAAACACAAAAGCCATTGAGGTAGACTGCATGTACTAAACAGCATATTGAAAGAAAAATATGTCACTGTGACCACTATGAAGTAATGCAATACCAGAACACTGTACTTTACTTGGCTGCACGTCATTAATTGACAAAGAGCCAGGGACTCAGGCCATGCTTTTGTTGGTTTGGCAACATCTATTATGCACAATTTCAAACACATATTCAAACCATTACATGTATACTAAACATACAACAGTTCAGCCCTCATTCCACAAAACGTTTAAGCACATACTTAACTTTAAATATGGACTTCACTGATTTTAATGGGCCTACTCATCCGAGGAAAGTGCACACTTCAGTGCCCTATTGAATTGGGGCTGCTTAAAGTGAGGACATTTTTTAAACTGTCTTTACTAAACTATATGCCATGGAAAGTGCTGATACACAACCAATTTCAAAGTATAGTCTACACACAACTAAACATAACGTAAGAAAATATATCTTAGTACGATACAAAAACAAGTTTCTAGGTCTGTTACAACAGCCTTGCATACCAGCCATGTTATATCACGTGTCTGTTTTCCTTTAAAAATTAAAAAAAATAAATAAAAACAAACAAATAAAATCAACCCAGCTGGTCAGATGGCAATTTGTAAGGTTGAATTACATATGTTTAAAATAAGATATCAGAGCCCTACAATTGATAGTTATGCAGTCTACATCTGATAATTGAAAGAAAATTAAGTGTTTAGGATTTAGAAAAATTACATACAAATCATGCACATGCTTATTATTTACATTAAAATGCAAGTGTTCTCGAAAATACACTTCATTGGATAACACGGAAACTCTTCCCTTGGCTTTTTTGGTACAATTTTTTGGTTTTCCTAAGTCTGACTGCTCTTCCAGCAGTGACTGCTCTTCCCTTATCCCACTGTGAATGACCCTTAAACCTCAGACATGGGTGATTCTTTCTACTTCCATGGTTTCAGCTCTCATCTCTATGCGGATAATTCAGCTCAGCCCACCACTGATCTTTCCATCTCTGCCAAACTGCACATTGCCATTTCTCTCCAATGTCTTCTACCAGATGATATTTCACCATTAATTAAAAGCGTAACATGATTGAAGCAAAGCTCTATCTTTTCACACAAAATTCTCCCACTCTTCCTCCTTTCCCGGTCGGTCAATACCACCATCCTTCACCTCACAACTTGGGGATCATCATCTGCAACTCTTATCTCATTCTCAACATATGTCCATGTCTTGCCATGTGTTCCTCCACAATAACGTTCTCTCACCCATGCCCTGATCATTTCCAGTCTTGATTCTTGCAGCCTCTCACTTTCTTGATAACCATGACACCCACTACCTATCCATCCCAAATACAGCCACACCACTTCCTCTTTTGACTTTTCATGTCTCCAGTGGCTCTCTCATACCCTATTGCATCATGGACTCTGATTTTATCCTTTAAGGCCCTGCATCACTCACCTTTTCTTGTTCATTTACTGAATTTTTTTTGTGCTACTCCTCTGCAAATTTTGCAAACCTCAAGGCTCCATCTGTCTGCTTCTTGTCCTCCCCACTCCTCCCTGGCAACTTGGTATGCCCTTCTTGAAATGGTCTGCAAAGCCAGTACCCTCTCCTCATTTATCCTTCCTGGAGGCTCACTTCTTTTCTTTTGAACAATACAGCAGGGGTAAATTATAGTCATATCAGTTGGGACAGTTTAAAAAGAGATGGAAATAACATGACATGACTCTTACTACCTTTGTTACTTTGCTTGAATGCTGTATCCTTCATCCTAGTCAGTGTATCGTCTCTAAATGACTAAACTCTTTGAGGTAGTGCTGCAATATCTACTGAATCTTTTAAAGGAACCAAGGATATCTGGTAGTTGCTTGGTTTCAGAGTAGCAGCCGTGTTAGTCTGTATTCACAAAAAGAAAAGGAGGACTTGTGGCACCTTAGAGACTAACCAATTTATTTGAGCACAAGCTTTCGTGAGCTACAGCTCACTTCATCGGATGCATTCAGTGGAAAATACAGTGAGGAGATTTATATACACACACAACATGAAACAATGGGTGTTACCATACACACTGTAAGGAGAGTGAGCTATTACCAGCAGGAGAGCGGGAGTGGGAAAGAAAACCTTTTGCAGTGATAATCAAGGTGGGCCATTTCCAGCAGTTAACAAGAACGTCTGAAGAACAGTGGGGTGGGGGGATAAACATGGGGAAATAGTTTTACTTTGTGTAATGACACATCCACTCCCAGTCTCTATTCAAGCCTAAGTTAATTGTATCCAGTTTGCAAATTCATTCCAATTCAGCAGTCTCTCGCTGTAAGGAGAGTGATCACTTTAGATAAGCTATTACCAGCAGGAGAGTGGGGTGGGAGGAGGTATTGTTTCATGGTCTCTGTGTATATAATGTCTTCTGCAGTTTCCACAGTATGCATCCGATGAAGTGAGCTGTAGCTCACGAAAGCTTATGCTCAAATAAATTTGTTAGTCTCTAAGGTGCCACAAGTCCTCCTTTTCTTTTTGCGAATACAGACTAACACGACTGTTACTCTGAAACCTGTCGTTGGAGTCTGTTTTTGAAGTCTTTTTATTGTAATATTGCGACTTTTACGTTAGAGATCGAGTGACCAGAGAGATTGAAGTGTTCTCCGACTGGTTTATGAATGTTATAATTCTTGACATCTAATTTGTGTCCATTTATTCTTTTACATAGAGACTGTCCAGTCTGACCAATGTACATGGCAGAGGGACATTGCTGGCACATGATGACATATATCAGATTGGTAGATGTGCAGGTGAACGAGCCTCTGATAGTGTGGCTGATGTGATTAGGCCCTATGATGGTGTCCCCTGAATAGATATGTGGGCACAGTTGGCAACGGGCTTTGTTGCAAGGATAGGTTCCTGGTTAGTGGTTCTGTGGTGTGGTGTGTGGTTGCTGGTGAGTATTTGCTTCAGGTTGGGGGGCTGTCTGTAGGCAAGGACTGGCCTGTCTCCCAAGATTTGTGAGAGTGATGGCTTGTCTTTCAGGATAGGTTGTAGATCCTTGATGATGCGCTGGAGAGGTTTTAGCTGGGGGCTGAAGGTGACGGCTAGTGGCGTTCTGATATTTTCTTTGTTGGGTCTGTCCTGTAGTAGGTGACTTCTGGGTACTCTTCTGGCTCTGCCAATCTGTTTCTTCACTTCCGCAGGTGGGTACTGTAGTTGTAAGAATGCTTGATAGAGATCTTGTAGGAGTTTGTCTCTGTCTGAGGGATTGGAGCAAATGCGGTTGTATCGCAGAGCTTGGCTGTAGACAATGGATCGTGTGGTGTGGTCTGGGTGAAAGCTGGAGGCATGCAGGTAGGCATAGCGGTCAGTAGGTTTCCGGTATAGGGTGGTGTTTATGTGACCATCACTTATTAGCACCGTAGTGTCCAGGAAGTAGATCTCTTGTGTGGACTGGTCCAGGCTGAGGTTGATGGTGGGATGGAAATTGTTGAAATCATGGTGGAATTCCTCAAGGGCTTCTTTTCCATGGCTCCAGACGATGAAGATGTCATCAATATAGCGCAAGTAGAGTAGGGGCATTAGGGGACGAGAGCTGAGGAAGCGTTGTTGTAAGTCAGCCATAAAAATGTTGGCATACTGTGGGGACATGCGGGTACCCATAGCAGTGCTGCTGGTTTAAGGGCAGCATGGCCTCGAGTGCTGCCATGGCTGGGAAAGGGGAGTGAGCTGAAGAGCAGTGCAAGAGGAAAAGGTGGGCTTCAACTGCAAATTCTGACAAATCATGTAGAGGGAGTCCTGGCTTCAGCTGCCCCAAATTCACTTTCTCTCTTGCCAGTCTCATAAATTCGAGGTGGCTGTGGCTGAAGGGTTAAACTCTACAATTCCAGTTTATGAAATTAAGAAATAATTGAAACTGAATGATGTAAAACTAAAGGCCTTAAAGTAAACACATAACTGTTACCCAAACGAATCCACAGATTCACACCGGAGGTTTTACTTGTTTTGTTATTATTACAGTTGTCTGGAAAATAGGAATCCCTTCCCACAAAAAAATTTATGTTTTTGGAACAAATTTTAATCCCAAACTGGGAAGGAAAAGTCAAAACTGAGAAATATTTCAAGGGAAGGGATTTAAAAAAAAAACAAACAAAACAAATAAAAAAAGCTATTTTGGGAGACTCTGAACAGCATTTTCCAGCTTCCCAGTGAAACTGACATAAGCCTTCCAGCCTGGCTGTCAGAGTTCAGTGCACACAGCAGCTGGATGGCTGGGGGAAGGCAGAAAGAGAAACTGACAAGAGCCTTCAACAGGGAAACTGTCATTTTGATTTCTCCCCCCAAGGGAAAACTGAAGTTTTCCCAGGAAAAATATTGATTTTGCAAAATGGATATTTTCAGTCAGACAGACAATCATTCCAACAAAATTTTTTTGACCAGCTCTACTTATTATGCCAGGTAGTTCTCTGTGTCAGATTTCTGCAGATGTAGGCTCATTAATGAGCACGTAATTACACAATTTAGGATACTTTGAAGTATCCTAAACAGGTGGTTCAGCACACTAGTTTCGCTCATGTTCTAACCGCAGGATGCGATTTAAGATTAGAGTTAGTCACCGAGCAGGTCTTTCAAGTTTAAAGGAATAAACCATTTGTGATCATGAACAAGTTTAAACAAACTTCCTGAAGTTAGAGTTTTGCCACTAGGTTCTATGAGAGCAGAATCATCTTCAAAATACGAATACTGAATACATAACTTGTCAAGCGACTGGAGTATCTGGCAGCCATTCAGTCTTTAACATTTTCACATGATGAATTGCCATCAGGTTCAGAAGAACCTTTGAACCAGAAAGCATCTAAAGAATTATGATGCTAAAGGTTCAGAATAATCTTGAACCATACCATAATTATGTAATAAGGTGTCAATGTCACCTTACTGCAGTAGGGAAAGACTGGTTTTACAAGTGTGTATAGGTATAAGTACATAAATACTTGTTTCACAGGTTTACCCAAATCCCACACCTAAAATAAAGTTTTATTCATACAATTCATAGTTCTGTCAGAGCACTATATTTCATTAAAACAAACAGTTTCTGATATCACAAGTACAAGTTATATCTCTGCTGCAGGGAGACATTCTAGGGGGCCGGAAGGGGAAGAACACATGTGTGTTTAGCAGCTCACACTTGACTACTGACATTTAGAGGTCAGAGACCACCATCTTCCCAATGCCATCCCGACAGCCACCTTGAGTTCAATACACAGAGGGACCAAGTCACCAACGGCAGCTTTTTTAAGTGAACGTTCAGACCTCCTTGCTTAACTTCTGTATCAAAATCAGCTTGAGATGGGAATAAATGGGAAAGTGGTAATGAACACAGTACAATCTCACTATTAAGTAGTCACAAGCAGGGTTCTTCCCTTCTCTTACCAAGAAGAGTGAATGAAAAGGTCTTCAATATTTGTAACATTGTTTTGTTCAGTAGGGAAATGGACACAATCTTCAGCAAAAGACCAAGCGAATCTCCTCCATGATGAGATTCATCACTGGAGTCATGATCAACATCATCAGTATCCTTGAAGACACTCCTGAGCCTGGGTTGTTTGCATGGCCCATACTGCATGTGCCATACCACCTACGAGGCTGGTCAGACTCCTTTTTTCTTTTAGAATTGTAGAACATATGAATCTCCATTCATTCCCCTCCCCGCCCCCCATCCACTTTAACATCATGAATTTGTGCCACAAATAAGAAAAAAAACCTTACGTTTTGCTTAAAGCTAGTGTTTGTGGTTAAGACGGGTACTATACCAAGGGAACTGAACTGTTAATTACCCCAAGCACACACAGCATGAGCAGCACAGCAAGCTTCTCCACATGACCCCACGAGTGTTCCATAAGTCTTTTTTGGGGGGAGCAGAATCCAAAAAGGCATTCGTGTTGGCCTGTCTAAGCACAAAGAACTGAGGCAGCCACAGATGCTAATTCACAGCAGTTAGGCTGTGGTTTCTGTGACATGTTATTTATGAAAGCAAGTGAAGCAAATGCAATCTACCATGTGGATCCAAGAGTGTAATTTATTTTCCATTTGCTACCATTACCAACTCTGAATTCAAACCACTGACTTTGAGGTGAAAGGCTATAATAGCAATGTGTAATAGAAAGTAACAGACTGCATTTCCTGAAGTTTCAAGGGCTAGCAAATCATGTACAAAGCAAATGCACTTAAGCAGAGTTAGTGTTCCAGAGCATTTTGTTAGTGGTGAAGACATAGATATAAGATTAAAGCCTATCATTCTGATTATAGTGAGCACTAAAACACACAAAAAACCTCGGAAATGTTTAGATAAAAAGCTAATTAAGTGCACACTGCTTTGTAAAGGTGACTATTAAGGGGTTACACATTTTGTAGCTTCTGTAGGCTGAATGCACTGTGCACCCCAAGGTCTCATTTCCTTCCTCCATCCCCACCCCTGTTCCCTGCATGCCACCCTCCCATCCCCCTCTATTTCAGGGACTCCCAGCAACTCCTTCCACTCCCATCCCGTCTGCCACTGCCAGGGGGCTGTGTATGCCCCATTCTCCCCCCAGGCAGAGGCACAGTATGGCCCACCCATGACATTCATCCCTTCCCTCCTTGCCCTCCCTAATGGCATTTCCCACTATGCCCAGATCTCTGTGTGGCTCCCTCATTCCCCCTAGCCAGGTCTAGCTTGTCTCACCCCACTCCAGGGTCTGTGGTCCCCCCTTCTCCACTCACCATCTCGGTTTCCCCTGATTCCACACCCACATGCTCAGTTTCCTTCCCACCCCAGGGCCCTAGCTTCCCTCATCACCATTACTCCCATCTTGTAGGTTCCTGATTTGGCCCCCATCCACCCACTTCCTTCAGCCCTATTACCAAATTCACTTCCCCTCCCACACTTATCTCACAATCCCTGCCTGCCCCCCGCAACTCTTTTTCCAGGTTCCTATTTCTCCCCCTAACCCCAACTTCCCCATCCACCCCAGGTCTCTGTTTCCATCACCACCACAGTCCCACCCTGGCTGCTTCCCATGACCCCACTCCAGGTTGCTCTTCCCCTCTGCAGGTCCTTATTCCTCCCCTCTCCTTTCCCCAACAAACTATCCCTGTAAGGCTCTTATTTCTGCGAGTTCAGACTACAATCTCCCCTTGCAGCAAGCTTAGCTGTTACCTCTAATATGGGTAGGCAGCAGCAGGGGGTAGCAAAGAGGAATTAACACACTGAATCAGTAGCACAGATGGCATTAGAATTCAGGCCACTTAACTCTCTGTCCCATGCTTTAATCACATCACACTGGCTCTCTCTATTATACTCCCTGCCAACCCCAGCAATACCAACCTTTCCAGGTTTTACTGATGAGCTAGACCAACTTCTCAGACCACCATTACATTTAATCCTATTCTACCTTTGTTTTGCTTCATACACTGCTTAAGTTGAGCAAGAAGCCCCAGTGATCACAGCTATAAAACTAGGGTATCGCTAAGCTTAGTATTACACAAATCACTGCTTTAGGTCTGGCTGTTTGATGACACAAGCAGCCTGTAGAGACTTTCATAAAACAAAGATCCCAAAATTGCAGAACCCCAAATAATTTCTTCTCTCTCTCTCTCTCTCTCTCTCCATATTAAAAAAAAACCAAAACAACAAAAAAAACCCCACCACCCATGTGCTTTCCAACCACAACTTTAAAGATCAGAATTTCTTGTGGTATCGTCATTCTACCTGCAGAAAAAATTACACCTTGGTTTAAGTGCACTGAGTTATAAGCAGACCTTAAAAACCTGTCTTCAAGTAGTGGTGGGTCTGACATGTACTATCAGATAGTTTCTAAGAAACTATTTAGGTTTTGGACCTCTTGTTCCATTATACCAGCCACTCACTAGCAGCCAAACCGCCTCTACTTTTGTCCAGGCCTCTGCAATCCTATAGACAAAGCCTTGGTCATAGCCTGTTAGGTAGGAATATTTTCTAGTAATTTAAGTAGAACAAAAGCTGCTTACTACTTCCTACAAGCACCGATATTCACCATTTTTGTTTGTAACAGACTATCTATAATAATGCATATCTATAATCATAATGGTTGACTGCACACAACATACCTCTTTGGGCAAAGATATTAATTTGTTTCTGTCAACATTCAAATTGTTCAGCTTCTTTAGTTTTCCAATGCTCTTCGGCAATTTCTGTTTCAATAGAAAGTGACACATGAACAAGCTTTCTATTATCACAATGTCAAACAAAACTTTACCTCACTTTGAATAGGATCTAGGAGACAGCCCTTTTTGTAATAAAAAAGTTTACATATAAAGGACTAATTCTATTCATAGTCACAACTGTGCAACTCCACTGATTTCAGTGGCGTTCCAGAGTTGTAACTGAGACAGAATTGGCCTGCTTGTTTCAGCTTCTAACCAAACTGCACTCCTTACTTTATCTTTGTACTAAAATGACCATATACACAAGGTAGAAGATACATTATTTAAGTGTCCTTTTGAAGGCAGTTTTGAAGAAGTGGAAAAACAAATAAGTTCCCGCTATAACTAAGGGATTGTCTACACCACGCAGCTTTTAGCGACAAGGCTGTGTTGACACAGCCTTGTTGCTAAAAGTCAGGGTGTGTAAACACCCTTTGTCAGCACTTTTGCCAACAAAATACTTCAAGCCCTGCAAGCGGCTTTAGCTTTGTGGGCAGGAGAGTGCTCCTGCCGACAAAGCCACGTTCACACTGCCACTTGCGTGGGCAAAACTTTTGCCTTTTGTGTGTGGGCTTTTTTAAGTACCTGAGAAAGACAAAAGTTGTGTCAACAACTTTGCAGTGTAGACACCCTAAACCTCAGATTTTATTTTCATTCAACACGTGTAGCATTAAATCACTGGCTGAAACAACTGATTAACAAAGCAGGGAGTGACACAAAGAGCAACCACATAGCAGTGGGGCCTGCAATTTGACTCCACCATTATTTATCAAGATATGCACAGCACTAGTTGGCATCAAAGGGGAGCTTTGTCTACGCAGAGAGCTATTCCCAATTTAAATTCACATGTGGATGCTCTACTCTGAGATAAGAGCATCAACACACCAAATTGAATCAGGAAGTTAATTCATTTTAAATTCATGCTCCATCTTATTCCTACACAATGTTCATGTGTAGACAAACCCAAAGTAAAAGCTTCCTACACAACAGGCTCTCCAATTCTCTTATTAGTCATGGAAGACTTTAAAATGAATATGTACGTGAATAAATCTTCCCTTCATGTCAAGTCAGATCCTTCAGCGGTTAGAGGTAAAAGACAAGGGAATCTGTTTAGCTAGATACAGTATAAACTTTGGCTGCCAGTTTCAGACATCATCTACTTCCCCTGTATGAGACTGTAGCGGGGTGGCTACCCTGCTCCTAAAATAGAAGGGGTTAAAAGCAGCCCCGGAGAAGGCTATGGCTGGGGATGGCTGATTGGGGAAACAGCCGCAGCTGGGCCATGCCCCAATCAGGCCCCAGCTGGCCTGTATAAAAAGGCTGTGAGCCAGAGGCCCAAGGAGTCTCTCTCAGGCTGGGAGAGAGCAGGGCCTGGCTGCCTGCCTGACAGGGTACTGGGAGTGAAGGAGGGCTGGGGAAGGAGCATTGTGAGCGGGGCGCTCCAGGCTCGCAACTCCCCAGGCTGTAGGGCCTGGTCCAAGGCCCATAGAGGTACTGGGAGGCAGAGGAAGGCAAAAGGTCCGAACCCCCTTGCCTATGATGAGTGGCCTTTACGCTGCAGTCTGCCCCAGGGAGCAGGGGCTTGGTGATGACTGGCAGTAACCCAGACTGAGGCAAGGTGCGGATAGTGGGTTGGGGGTTCCCCAGGAATGGGAGACCCAGAGGTAGAGTGTGGGGATAATGCCAGGGGGCAGAACCCAGAGAAAGGGGCACCGGGGTCTGTGAGGTACATGGGGGCCAGAGCTGTGCGGATCACCGGCCTGCAGAGAGCGCTCCATGCTCGAAAGAGCTAATTTCCCAATGACCAGCAGGAGGCTGCAGGGGTGGGTCTGCTCCTTTACAGAGACTCAGTATGAATTCTCACTGGGGACACCGTGGCACGGACAAAGACATTAGGTTACTTCTTGTATTTATACAGGCTCCCGTGCCATCTGCTTCTGGATTACAAGTGCTCAGTTGAGCTCGTTGAGGCAAAACAAAATATCCTCTTGCTATCCAACACACAGAGGATAAACAATTCTTACTATATCTAAAAGAATCCTGAACTTTTCACTTACCCAAAAAGGTGCAGGCAGGGAAGCAAGCTCCTATTACTATACTCAGGTTATTCCTTGCCGTTCAATAAGCTCTGCTAACTCAACTAAAAGATGTATATAATAGGGCTGTCAAGCAATTAAAAAATTAATAGTGATTAATCAAACTGTTAAACAATAATAGAATATCATTTATTTAAATATTTTGGATGTTTTCTACATTTTCAAATATATTGATTTCAATTAGAACACAGAATACAGTGTAAAGTGCTCCCTTTATATTTATTTTTGATTACAGGTATTTGGACTGTAAAAAACAAGAGATCTAGTATTTTTCAATTCACCTCATACAAGTACTGTAGTGCAATCTCTTTATCATGAAAGTTGAACTTACAAATGTAGAATTATGTTAAAAAAACCTGCATTCAAAAACAAAACAATGTAAAATTTTAGACCATGCAAGTCCAGTCTTACTTCTTGTTCGGCCAATCGCTAAGACAAACAAGTTTGCTTCCATTTGCAGGAGATAATGCTGCTTGCTTCTTGTTCACAATGTCACCTGAAAAAGTGAGAACAGGTGTTCTCATGGAACTGTTGCAGCCAGCGTCGTAAGATATTTATGTGCCAGATGCGCTAAAGATTTGTGCTGCATCCACCATTCCAGAGGACATGCGTCCATGCTGATGACGGATTCTACTCCATAACGATCCAAAGCATGTTCATTTTCATCACCTGAGTCAGATGCCATCAGGGTAAGATTGATTTTCTTTTTTGGTGGTTCGGGTTCTGTAGTTTCCGCATTGGATTGTTGCTCTTTTAAGACTTCTGAAAGCATGCTCTGCACCCCATCCCTCTCAGATTTTGGAAGGCACTTCAGATTCTTAAACCCTGGGTTGAGTGCTTTGCTATTTTTAGAAATCTCACATTGGTACCTTCTTTGCGTTTTGTGAAATCTGCAGTGAAAGTGTTCTTAAAATAAACAACATGTGCTGGGTTATCATCCGAGACTGCTACAACATGAAATATATGGCAGAATGTGGGTAAAACAGAGCACGGGACACACAATTCTCCCCCAAGAAGTTCAGTCACAAATGTAATTAATGCATTATTTTTTTAACGAGCGTCCTCTGGAATGGTGGCCGAAGCATGAAGGGGCATATGAATGTTTAGCATATCTGGCACAGAAATACCTTGCAATGCCAGCTAAAAAAGTGCCATGCAACTGCCTGTTCTCACTTTCTCTTGACACTGTAAATAAGAAGAGGGCAGCATTATCATCTGTAAATGTAAAAAAAAAAAAAACTTGTTTGTCTTAGCAATTGGCTGAACAAGAAGTAAGAGTGAGTTGACTTGCAGGGTCTAAAATTTTACATCGTTTTGTTTTTGAGTGCAGTTATGTAACAACAACCACCAAAATCTACATTTGTAAGCTGCACTTGCCCAACAAAGAGACTGCACTACAGTACTTGTATGAGGTGATTTGCAAAATACTATTTCTTTTGTTTATCATTTTTACAGTGCAAATATTTATAATAATAAATAATATACACTTTGATTTCAGTTACAACACAGAATACAATATATATAAAATGTAGAAAAACATCCAAAATATTTAATAAATTTCAACTGGTATTCCATTGTTTAACAGTGTGATTAAAACTACAATTAATTGTAATTAATTTTTTAAATCGCGATTAATTTTTTTGAGTTAATCGCGTGACTTAACTGAGATTAATTGACAGCCCTAGTATATAATTTTAGATTAAGTCAGCAAATCACAAGTTAAAGTGAAGCTCTACTTCAAAATATGGACCATGTAAAAATGGCACCTTGTTACTCAGCATCGTTGCTCTATACCTATTCAGTCATCGGTGCTTACAGTTCATACCATGGTCAAGAACAGAGTAAAAAGACTGAGGCTACTCACATCTGTTATTCTGATAAATAAGTTTTTACTCATTAGTATTGCAGAGCCAAAATAGCTAAAACTGAACAGGGTTCCATTCTGCTTTCTCCATCAATAAAACTGTGAACTAAAATCTAATTGCAGAGCCAAGTTCTGCCTTTAGTTACACCTGGGCAACATGAACAATTGATGTTGTTGATAATGATTCGCAGATTCAAAACAATCTAAATTGATTTTTCGCTCAAAAGTTGAGTCTACAGGTCTTGCCATTAGGTGAAGAAAATCTTTATACTTGTAAACAGAGCATACCTTCCATAAGAGTCAGTAAAACAAATCTGTAACCCCACAATGCCATTCTCTCATATAATCACTTGCAGAAAAACAGTTATTTAAAAATGAGAACTTTGATTTACCAATTTTATATTATGGAAAGTTCCTCTTGAATGTATTGTCATTTAAATATACAGAATATATTCTATATGGAAACAATATCACGACTGTTGTAACAATCATGCATTTACTTAATGCAAACTCCACTGTATTGTACTTAGCAGTAACTATAATAGGAGGAGAAATAAAATAAAGGCATTACAATCAGAATGAATCAGGGCATAGCAGCAGGCCTAATTACTGTCAGCTATTTGAGCAGTCAAGACTATACTCACCAGCAGCTGGTTTTCTGTTAGAACTAGTTCAGTAAGGCTTTCGCAGTCTCCTATTGCTTCTGTCAACTGAACAAGTTTGTTCTGATCAACCTTCAAGATAGACAAGTTCTTTAAATTTCCTATAGATAAAAGAGAATTGTTAAGTTTGGTGGTTGGCTTCAACTATACCTGCATCAGATGTTCCCTTTAAGATTAACACAGTCATGTTGTTGAAATTATATTATTCCAGAACATCTGCAATATATGTGAATATCTAAATATTAAATTTTTTTTTAAAATAACCTTTTTAAAATGTTAGATTTTGTTATTGCATTACAATTTTTTGTAAAACCAAATGCTACAATGCATTGTTTCCTCAGATAACCTAACTAGTTTTGTAAAGCTACAACAATACTAAATATTCTATAATTCAGAAAACATTTAATGTTTTGGATTGCATTGCTAATGGGGATTGAACACAAACAGTAAGAGCAAAAAAAATAAATAAAGTAAGGAACTCTAAGCATGTTCAACAGCAGACAATGGAGACTATGAAACTGCACATAACCTACAGTTTGAACATTTAAAATCATACAAAATACAGTGCAACTTTTCTTCTGTTGGGAAATTTTGGTGTATTTGACAAGAGTTTTCCAGACTAAAGTTCAATAGCAAAAACAGGATAAGTGTCAGATATAGACAATGAAAGCTCACTTGGAATTAGACATCACAAATGTAAGACAAACAGGGGAATTTTCCAATTTGCAATGGCTGTATTTTATTGAATATGTAATGCTTATTTCCACTTCGATTTTAGGTGCTGAATTGCCAGCACACTATAGTTCTTCTAGACAATGATAATAAAATATCCATAAATAAATTTTAACTGTAGGATTGTTATTGATGGAAGAGGAGCTGAAAAATCACATATCGTCCTCCTCAAATAGTGACTCCATAAAACTATGTGAAAAGGAAAAAAAGTTAGTTGTGGGGTGAACTCGAGAGCAAATGCTCCCAATAATAAATGCCTTTAAAATCCAAAAAAAACTTTAAAAACTGAAAGGTTTGCTTGGGAGCAAAAGTGTTTTCAGTTATATTTCATGAGTCTGAAGTTTGACAAAGGGGTAACAGTATACCATATCAATGCGTTAAGAAATGGGAAGTCCTTTGAGACAGGGAGTGTGGGATAATCAGGAGTTAAATATTTCACCATCCAAACATGACTGGGGAGATGGGGGGGCGGGGGGGGGGAAGAGAAATCAAGCCATACAATATTTTCTGATAAGCATACAAAAGTGTTTGAAATTTTAGGCCTCTAGTAATCTGTATTCATTAAACACAGATACTAAAAAACAAACAAACAATCTAGTACTTATGAAAACTGAACCCGCATTTAATTTTCTGTGATCAAAACATACTACATTTAGTTAGAATAGGCAGGTCCATGATATGGTGTAGGATGCCCTTCTCTATCCTTATCATTGTGCTGGACTACTATACGAACATGCTAGTTTTATACAAAACACAATTATAATCCCAAACATTAGGTTACCAGATCCTTCATTATATAATGAATTCTCTATGAATATATAAGATTTCATGTGATTTCCTTTTTTGCTTTGTTTCCTTCCACTGTGTGCTCTTATGACATTTAACGTAAAATTTTCAAGCATTTGCCTCACCTAACATATTCTTAGTGATTTTAGCCGGTAACTGAAATCACATGATAAAGGCTCCCAAGGAGGTTACACTGGTAAACGCTGCAGTTTCATATCCTGTGTGCATATTTACTGAAGAGGGCTAAGACCAAAAGGCATAGAAGGAAAGTTTGAACAACCCCATCTGTTGATATCAGTACATGACTTGTAGCCTGAACTCTGCACATCAGCCTCAATGTCACCAAGTGGCACCAAATAGGAGTTTTTTTTTTTTGCATTCTACTTTTTTTAAAAAGCTGACAAAAATTACCACATAAATGCCAGACTATTATTACTGTTAGTTTGTTCTAGCAATACAAACTAGAAGTAGTAATACTAACAGTAAATAGCCGTAGTTTGAGGTAGCACACCCAAAAGCCCCAAATAGGACCATGGCCAAATACACTAGGTGCTGTACAAACACTAGTTAGTCTCATACTGGCCTGGTCAACAAAGATAGACAGATGCAATAACTGATAAGGTCAGAATTCAAAGAAAATCATTCTGGGAGATGAGTTCAAGCCCTGTCACTGTCAAAGAGCTCTGTACCAGAATCACTGTAGCTCAGGACACAGATAGCTAGTATAAGCACTAAGTGCCACTCTGCTTCTTGGGGAAAGGACCACATCTTCCTCCAGGTCAGTGGTATCTAACCTTTTCAGCTGAAGAGCCAAACATTACTTTTAAAAAGGTCAGTGAGCCACAACTGATGCTACAGGCAGACTCTGTCCTGTTCTGGTCCCTTTGTGCTATGTACGATGGAGACCTCTGCCAGCTGAGGAAAGTTTGAGCATTTCCCAGGCTGCTCTAACTTGTTCTGGAGACAGAGAACCTGAGAGTCATCACTGGGTGCCAAGTTAAGTTTTCTTCCTTCTACCCTCTCCTGAGCTGCCCTGAATGGCTGTGCTAGGCTCGGCAGCATCAGTCAAGCTCCATTCCTGTTCTTCATAGGGTTCTAACAACCCAACAGGGAAGCAGATAATGGAACTGCCAGAGTTACTCTCCTCCCTCCCCTCAGATGCAAAAGGCAGCCAGTGGTGGAGCTGCTGTGGTTTAAAAACCACACAAAATGTTTTTTTAAAGACCTATGCTCCATGAATTTTACTAAATTTACTAAATAATTTTACATGTGATGTGCTACAAAATAGAATTTACAGATTATAAAACCTCCAATGAATCAACTTGTACACCGGAGTGTGACAGAGCAAGTTCCTGCAGTATCTTTGGGAGATCTTACTGTATTAAGTTTGCAAAAAGAAAAGGAGTACTTGTGGCACCTTAGAGACTAACCAATTTATTTGAGCATGAGCTTTCGTGAGCTACAGCTCACTTCATCAGATGCATACCGTGGAAACTGCAGCAGACTTTATATACACACAGAGAATATGAAACAATACCTCCTCCCACCCCACTGTCCTGCTGGTAATAGCTTATCTAAAGTGATCAACAGGTGGGCCATTTCCAGCACAAATCCAGGTTTTCTCACCCTCCACCCCCCCACACAAATTCACTCTCCTGCTGGTGCTAGCCCATCCAAAGTGACAACTCTTTACATAATCAAGTCGGGCTATTTCCTGCATAGATCCAGGTTTTCTCACATCCCCCCCACCCCCATACACACACAAACTCACTCTCCTGCTGGTAATAGCTCATCTAAACTGACCACTCTCCAAGTTTAAATCCAAGTTAAACCAGAACATCTGGGGGGGGGGGGGGGTAGGAAAAAACAAGAGGAAACAGGTTACCTTGCATAATGACTTAGCCACTCCCAGTCTCTATTTAAGCCTAAATTAATAGTATCCAATTTGCAAATGAATTCCAATTCAGCAGTTTCTCGCTGGAGTCTGGATTTGAAGTTTTTTTGTTTTAAGATAGCGACCTTCATGTTCCACGGTATGCATCTGATGAAGTGAGCTGTAGCTCACGAAAGCTCATGCTCAAATAAATTGGTTAGTCTCTAAGGTGCCACAAGTACTCCTTTTCTTTTTGCGAATACAGACTAACACGGCTGTTCCTCTGAAACCTGTATTAAGTTTATGTATCATTGTAGGCCAAGGATTCCATGGGGGAGGGTGACCAAAGCTCCTGCAAGAACTAACAATGGGGGGTGATTAGGCAAATTCACTCAGGCTGCAACACTTCCAGAGAGGTGTCACCACCTGGAGAGGCTCCCATGTACTAGTTCAAATAGGATTCTCCAGAGACCAGCAAAGAAAGGACTTCTGGATAAACTGAGTTTAAAATAACTGAGTGTCTTATTTCTGATCCATTCCAACCAACAGACAGACCTAATCCTTCCCTGGATGGGTTGGAAGGATTTGGGCCTACTGAGGTCCCATATTACTGATGGGTGACCTCTGGAAAGTTGTTAGCATGCGTATAAGGAACTTTTATTGATTTTTAGATGTTTTCTCTGTAATGTTTTCATGTTAAGAATAAATGTGCATGCTTAGAAAGGGCCGTGTGGTAACTTGACTGCTCGCAACTATAGCTGTTTATAGCACTTGAAGAGAAAGATGGCGGCCTGTTTAGGTAGTCTGGCTTTCTGGGGTTATCACAATGTAGGCAGAGAACTGTGCAGCCTCAAAACACTCAGTCAAGAGTAAGAAAGATCCGTGTCTCTAACCAACAGAAATGGCAACTGAGGAGCCGGGAGCCTTGAGTGGGTGCCATTGGTGGACCCCATGCAGAGGGAGCATGGGGCAGTTGCCCTGAACTGTGACACTCAACCCTCTGGTGCTGATGGTAATGTATCACATACGATGTACTGTCTCATACTCTGCTCAGCAAGTTGTTAATAAATTTAGGCAGCCTAAATGGTGAGGCATAAATTCCATAGTAGAAATAAAAATATTCAAAGTGCAAAATTAGCAGGACTGTGTGTATAATTAGACTTTGTTTAAAAAAATTGGGATAGGCTCATCTCTTACATAGGCAGAAATTGCAAAAGATATTCAGGACACATACGCTTGCTATTTAGATCAGATCCAATAGTTGTCTATTATGTTTATTTTATACTACTTACCAATACCATCAGGTAGCACCTCAAGTAAATTCTGAGAAACGAGCAAATCTGTTAAGGAAGTCAGACCATTGATCTCTTCAGGAAGTCTTTCCAATTTATTTTCAGAGACATCCAGACATAGCAGGTTTTTCAGATTTCCTATTTCCTACAACACATTTCACAAAACAAAAAAATCCAAAATCATGTCCAAACTTGCAATACCAAGTCACTGACAGTTTCCTACCACATTTAAATTCCATGAAGAACTCAGAAGGAGGACCTCTTTTCTAAATGCTGGAAGATGACCACTTTCATTTTGTGTGATATTACAAATGACAACAGCAGCTTCTTATGATAAAAATATTGACTAGCACAGGCTAGGTAATTTAGACAAAACGTTTCCATCTCAAACATTGTGTACATAAGAGGAACCACAAGCAAGCAATATAAGTGAAACATAAGCCAAAACAGTCTTTTTCTTGAGGAAATACTCAATGTAGTTGTTTCTCAGAGTTACAGAACTCAAATCCCACGTACAAAGTCTGTCTCTCCCAAGTAACTCAAGGCAAATTATGATCAGCCCCTCTTGGCTGATATTTCAACATACCATAACTATCAATATCTAGGGATTTCATATCTTTTTCCTCCCTTTGCAACAAACGGAGAAATACAAATCAGAAGTGCTGCACTAGCAAGCTTATAAAGCTATGAAATTATACTGAGGTCCTCTGCTATTGTTACCAATTACTTAGTTTTGACAATGATATAGTTTATCTAAAGATCTGATTGGGAAAAATTGACACCTCTTATTTTTATATTTTTCAGTACACCCTCATTCTGAGTATACACCTACACACATTCTGTCACAGCTGACTTTAATCATCAAAACATTCAGCACTGCTGTACCAACACAGCTGAAAATAAAGATAAAAAATAGAACAGCAACCTTAATATTTCATATATAGACTTTTACAGAGTAGCAACAAGATCACTGAAAATCTGAAGACTGATCACGTTAGATAGCAAAGATTTTTCTCTCTATTTTCTAATATTTGAACAACTAATTACATAAAGTAAGTTGCTCATAAAAAGCTTTTTCTTAGGATTTTTCCATTGGACATGAACAAAACCCACTAATTATTGCTAAAAATGGCTGCTAAACTTCAGATGTCCACAGAAAACCTGATATAGCAGAGTCTAATTGGATCCTCTTACAAGTTCTTACTGTAGCTAGTCTAAATGACTGAAAAAGGCATACACTAAGTTCAGTTGCAATCACTATTATTTTTGCATTGATTTTCAGCATGCAAGATTTCCACACCACCCACAGTGGACTCAGCATATAGAATACCAGTGAAATGGCCTGATTTTTTGGCTTGAATCTTAAAAAAAAAGCTGTTCTTAATGCACTAAGGACAGGGAAGCTTACTAGATTACAGAAATACCTTAGTTGTTAAGGCCCCTCATCCTGCAACTGAAGTCAATGGGGTATTTGCTTGCATGTATCCAGTTGCAGGACTGGGGTCTCAAAATTCTATTTATGGAGGAAATTTTATTATCCTATATCCTCTGTACACTGTATTTTAAACAGCAGAAGAAAGCTACAGAAGAGGACAGTTCACACACAACTTTGATTAGTTGCATTTTGACAAGTGTGAAGAGTGAGGATCAGTTGAACTGAATACTGGTCCCCTGATCCCTGGGCCATGAACACTACAGACAGAATAATCCATTTCTGGAAAGGGGAAATGTCCTGTCATTCATCACATAAATATTCTGAAGCCTATCAGCCATGTTTGGTGCATATGACAAAGGCATCATGCCCAACCTTCTAAAGCTGAGGGGCAGAAATCCTAAAGATACTCGCTGAACTTTTCAAAAAAGCTTATAAACTTCAAAGTTTAAAAACATATCCCCAAAAAAGGAAGTTTGATATTTGTAGTTTAGCCGCAAAGAATTTTTTCTTCACACATACTTTTTTCACGAGAACACTACTTTACCTGAGGTATTTCAGCTAACTGGTTTCCATCCAGCCAGAGGTCTTTAAGACTGAAAAGTGCACCAATTGTTTCTGGCTGCAAAATGTAAACAAAAACAAAAAAGAGCAAAAGGTAGTTAGAGTAATACAGAAACAAGCAGTGCATGCAACAGAAGAAAAACTGGTTGCCCAGGAGACCAAACACACTGATTTTAGTACTATTACTATGTTGTAATGCTAGTTCTGATTTAGAAAATGTGACTACGTATGACCATAAGTTATCTGTATTCATTATATATTCTGGTAAGTATCCAACAGGTGATTTATGTTTTTGACTAAGACTATGTTAGTCTAACAAAGGGGACTCCACATTCTCAGACAGTTTTTAAACACCCTTACATGCAGAGGAGAGACAGGTATTAGGCTAGCAACTACAACCCATTAGACAGAATCAGAAAAAATGTATATTCAAGTGACCATACAGGGTCCTCTTTCTTGTTTTGCTTACCTAAAGAATTAAACTCCAAGTTATAGCTCCCAAAACAACTCTAACCCATCCCCTTCCCACCCCCCATATACACACACAAAATACTATATATTATTGTCATATCTGAATGCCATAAGAATATACGGGAGAACACAGTATACCACAAGTGCGTAATTAGAGTTGTTGGTGGAACCATAATTGTAACATTAATATAATTTTAGTGTTTAGTGTAATCACTAAAATATGCTTTAAAAAGAGCAAAGTGTAAGCATTTGTGTTTCTGCACAAGAGCCTTATTTCATATTTTAGCACCCAAATGAGACGTCTGTTCAATCTTGAAATAAAAAAAAGGTAAGTACTGGGGCACAACTGAGGAACAGAGAAAACAATCTGTGCCCCTTGCTTTGTTTCTGCAGAGAGATCTGTGGGGATCCTTCCTTTTTTGCAGAAAAATAATTCTACCACAAATTAATAACATATGGTGAAGTGCCAGACTACAGATCACATCATTTTAATAGCTATAGCAATAGTTAGGATAGGGTCATAAAAGTATCAAGGTACATCAGCTGAACTTATTGTTTTGTATTGTACGATGATCGCAAGAAATAGGTAACATGATGGCAGCATGTCACTGCCAATTTTTCATTTATACGTATAGAAATGTTCCAGAAGTGTCACTGCTTCCAGTGTGCGACATTTCTGTTCTGGATATTTTAGTTCCACATGAAACAGCAACATTTTCAATGACATATTCCACTGATAATATCTTACCAAGTTATAAAGTTCATTGTTTCCTAAATCCAGTTCTTCTAGTCTCTGCAGGTGGGTGAGTGATCTGTAAGCAGAGAAAGAACCCCATTAGGCTAGAACCCCTAGATCCCATCAGAACCCCTAGATACTTGAATGAGCTCTTTCCACTGTATAGCCAAACATCCTTCTAGAAAAGGATTTTATTGGGCATAGATTATGTACATTAACATGATACTGAAGAGTACTGGGTTTGTCAGTATAATGTTGTGCCTCTCAAGCATAAAATACATTATAACTGATAAGATCATAGCCCACTATGCTAATCACCAGTCTTAGCCATGGTCAATACCACAATTTAGAATAAGTTGAAAACCTCCACAAAATGGAGCCAAACAATTTATGCCTGGATGAAAACTTCTTACATTACCCTGCATTGTTCATGTTAAATGGTTTATAAAGATGTAGGTCAAGATTTAACAAGTCCCTCATGTGCCTACTCACCAAGAGCAAATAAAGATTTTTTTCCCTGATGAATGTCTTAACTCATTAGCTTGTACAGAATTTCACTTGAATTAAAAAAAAACATTTGAGCATTTATGGCTTTAAAAGAAGCCTTCTGAATGTGAACAAACAGAGCTTTCCTGACACTTCAGAACAGACCCCTCCTCTGGAGCTTCTGCTTACCTTTCCCCATGCTGCCTCAGCATGAAGACAAGACTGGCCAGTTTCACTACTGCTAGTCAGAACTCTGAGCAGCAGTAAGACTATCCATTTATAAACAGTTTTACTCTGATGCTGCATGGAAAAACTATCTATTCATACTCTATAGTTCATTGTGGCATTTGAAGCGCCATGAGGCTCATGAGAGTTACGAACAGCAGCAACTGGGGAACTACTGGATATATCCGCAAGAGAGGAAGTTTCAAAAGAGGATGATACAGGAGGAGAGTATCCCCTGATAGTAGCAGCCAGGAAGCTAAGAGAAGAGACTCTTTACTCCCTTAGTCCCTCAGCAGTGAGGAGACTCTGGGGTACTGGGAAGAAAGAAGGGAAAAATCTTCCTCTTCCAGTAGCCAAAAGGGAGAAAGGAGTTCAAAAACAGTCAGATGTCCAAGCAGGGGCCGTCAAAAAAAAGACTTGACTCCCTGTACCTGGTGCAGACACAGCACCCCAATAAAAATCCTAGGACCTTCTTTCTTTCACTGAAGTAGTGGGGTTGAATTATATATTGCAAGGGGATGCCAGACGCTCTCATCTCCAGGTTTGCAAGGTTTCTGTAAATTACTCAACCTCTCATGTAATTGCTTATTTACAATGTTTTTTTAAAAAATGTAAAGCTCCACACAGGTTTAATACAGCTCACACAGTGAATGTTAAAAGTTTTGAACATGAGATCTACCTTCATTTACGTAATAATTAATATTGGTCATGTAATGATTAAAGCTTCCACCTCTTTAATAATTTGGCATTCGTTTACAGTATTTAGCTATTCAGTATATTCTGCACATTTCTATTACACAGATATATTACACAGGTAAAACTGATTTGCACACAGCCTTCAGACTCCTGTTCCTAACCAGTGATGAACTAAGTTCCTGAGGCAACTTGCTATTTATGAAGGGAAAGCTACAGCCTGAACTCTTCATTCATTACGCAGGAGACTGAAAACACCTTGTATTCATCCACAAATTACATGAGGGCCAGAGAAAATATTAACTTCAGACTTTTTTTTTTTCCCCCCGAGGATGGGCATATATTAAAGCACACACGACCACAGACACACATGCAATGGAACTTACTCAGGTAAGTATGTCAGAAGATTCTCTCTTAGTTCCAAGGAAGCCAGGTTAAAAAGGCTAAAAATAGAAATGATAATTTTTGAAGTCATCTTAAGATATTTTCTTTAATAGTTTCATTAACTAAGGAAAAAGGAAGCTTTATACAGTGTATTCCAGTGATCTCTAATGGAAGTCATCCACCAATAATTTCTTTTTTAAAATCTCCTCACACTTCATTTCACATGATTGCTTGATAGACTAAAGAGAAATTTTAAAAATTAGTTTTTGTTTGTTTAAAAACAGTTCAAGGAAGGAAGGAATCAACATAGGAAGTAACACCCCACATTTCCACTTCAATAAAAAGGTCAGTGATATTAAGTTACTAAAAAGATAATGTAGGTTTTTTTAGTCATTATATGAAAGTAATTTTACTGATTGGCTTTTAGATGATGACATGTGGGCTGTAAAGTTACAGCAGCAGCCACTAAACTCATCTCTGGCTATACCCAACTTGACAACTATGGCATGCTCATTATCATAAGTGACAGTATGTTTCTAAGCTGTTTGCTTACTCCAGAACCCAGGCTTTTACTAACATCACCATAGTAACATTCAGATTTTTCAGGGTTTTATTTATGACTCAATGGAACACAAGGAGTCAGACATTATCCCAATGCTATAATCTGCCTTAATCCTCTAGCGTCCCAGGAAAAAATAAAAACCAGATATTGTATCTACAAATAAAAAACAGTTCTCTACAACATAATATGCTCTGCCTTGAGTGCTAAAGGTTTAGATTTTCTTTTTGGACAAAGTGAGGTAAAAATATAAAGTATTTATAGCTACTACTGCAAAGAGAAATGCAATCACACTCCTATTCTTCAGCCAAATCTGAATTCAAACAAAAACTAAATTTAAAACATTTCTAACATTGACCATATCCAACACTGGAGAATTTATTACTAGAATGAGAATACATGAAGTTGAATGAGTACCTTAGTATAAAAACCCACCAAGGACAAACAAAGTTGCAAATAAATATTTTTCTTCTGAATCAATACAAGAAACTGGATTACGATCAAGTATCCACAATGATGAGATGCTGGTACCTTGACTAGGATAAACAGTGTATGAGTTTAGAATCTAATGTAACTTTTTAAACAGAAAGAAAAGGAGTACTAGTGGCACCTTAGAGACTAACCAATTTATTTGAGCATAAGCTTTCGTGAGCTACAGCTCACTTCATCGGATGCATTCAGTGGAAAATACAGTGAGGAGATTTATATACACGGAACATGAAAAAATGGGTGTTATCATACACACTGTAAGGAGAGTGATCACTTAAGATGAGCTATTACCAGCAGGAGAGCGGTGGGGGGAGGGGGGGGCAGGGGAGAAAACCTTTTGTAGGGATAATCAAGGTGGGCCATTTCCAGCAGTTAACAGGAATGTCTGAGAAATGGAGGGGAACGGGGGGGGGGGAATAAACATGGGGAAATAGTTTTACTTTGTGTAATGACACACCCACTCCCAGTCTCTATTCAAGCTTAAGTTAATTGTATCCAGTTTGCAAATTCATTCCAATTCAGCAGTCTCTCATTGGAGTCTGTTTTTGAAGTCTTTCTGTTATAATATTGCGAACTTTAGGTCTGCAATCGAGTGACCAGAGAGATTGAAGTGTTCTCAGACTGGTTTTTGAATGTTATAATTCTTGACGTCTGATCTGTGTCCATTTATTCTTTTACGTAGAGACTGTCCAATTTGGCCAATGTACATGGCAGAGGGGGCACTGCTGGCACATGATGGCATATATCACATTGGTAGATGTGCAGGTGAACAAGCCTCTGATAGTGTGGCTGATGTGATTAGGCCCTATGATGGTGTCCCCTGAATAGATATGTGGACACAGTTGGAAACGGGCTTTGTTGCAAGGATAGGTTCCTGGGTTAGTAGTTCTGTTGTGAAGTGTGTGGTTGCTGGTGAGTATTTGCTTCAGGTTGGGGGGCTGTCTATAAGCAAGGACTGGCCTGTCTCCCAAGATTTGTGAGAGTGGTGGGTCATCCTTCAGGATAGGTTGTAGATCCTTGATGATGTGTTGGAGAGGTTTTAGTTGGGGGCTGAAGGTGATGGCTAGTGTCGTTTTGTTATTTTCTTTGTTGGGCCTGTCCTGTAGTAGGTGACTTCTGGGTACTCTTCTGGCTCTGTCAATTTGTTTCTTCACTTCAGCAGGTCGGTACTGTAGTTGTAAGAACGCTTGATAGAGCTCTTGTCTCTGTCTGAGGGGTTGGAGCAAATGCGGTTGTATCGTAGAGCTTGGCTGTAGACGATGGATCGTGTGGTGTGGTCTGGGTGAAAGCTGGAGGCATGTAGGTAGGAATAGCAGTCAGTAGCTTTCCGGTATAGGGTGGTGTTTATGTGGCCATCATTTATTAGCACCGTAGTGTCCAGGAAGTGGATCTCTTGTGTGGACTGGACCAGGCTGAGGTTGATGGTGGGGTGGAAATTGTTGAAATCATGGTGGAATTCCTCAAGGGCTTCTTTACCATGGGTCCAGATGATGAAGATGTCATCAATATAGTGGAAGTAGAGTAGGGGCGTTAGGGGACGAGAGCTGAGGAAGTGTTGTTCTAAGTCAGCCATAAAAATGTTGGCATACTGTGGGGCCATGCAAGTACCCATAGCAGTGCCGCTGATTTGAAGGTATACATTGTCCCCAAATGTAAAATAGTTATGGGTGAGGACAAAGTCACAAAGTTCAACCACCAGGTTTGCCGTCACATTATCGGGGATACTGTTCCTGTTTGCTTGTAGTCCATCTTTGTGTGGAATGTTGGTGTAGAGGGCTTCTACATCCATAGTGGCCAGGATGGTGTTATCAGGAAGATCACCGATGCACTGTAGTTTCCTCAGGAAATCAGTGGTGTCTCAAAGATAGCTGGGAGTGCTGGTAGCATAGGGCCTGAGGAGGGAGTCTACATAGCCAGACAATCCTGCTGTCAGGGTGCCAATGCCTGAGATGATGGGGCGTCCAGAATTTCCAGGTTTATGGATCTTGGGTAGCAGATAGAATACCCCAGGTCAGGGTTCCAGGGGTGTGTCTGTGCAGATTTGTTCTTGTGCATCACTTGCCCCATAACCTCAGCCGTACAGAACACAATGCCAACCACAGCCTCAGAAACAACTCTGACATCATAATCAAAAAGGCTGACAAAGGAGGTGCTGTCGTCATCATGAATAGGTCGGAGTATGAACAAGAGGCTGCTAGGCAGCTCTCCAACACCACTTTCTACAAGCCATTACCCTCTGATCCCACTGAGGGTTACCAAAAGAAACTACAGCATTTGCTCAAGAAACTCCCTGAAAAAGCACACAGTGAAAGACAGCAAGCCTTCCTCCAACACCTCAGAGATAGCTGCATACCTGTCCCTCTCTTCAGCACCAGGGCTGCAGAAAAGCAGCCCCATGAGGTGCGGAACAAGTCAGCAAAATCATTGGCACCTCATTGCCAAAAGGCTAGGGGGAAAACTTGTCCCATCGCATCTCTGCATGGCAGAGCCAGGCACCTACAAAAGAGTACAGTGGACTAAGACACTCCAACACAAGGGGACAGTACATCTAACAAGGCTATACCTCTTCCCTGTCTACAGAGAGGCAAAGGGGACATAAGCACTGATGCCAAGTGATCGTATGTGGGAACTGATCAACCCCTTGGGGCCCATTTGTCAAAGGATATTATAGAAAAAAATTGGAAAGGAGAGCATGTGGACATGTTCACCCTTCTCTTCTGTGCAAACCAGATTGAGGAAACAGGTGGGGAGGGAGGGAAAGAAGACGACAAACTGGACAAGCTCAAGATGGTGAGAACACTAGAGAATTGGACTGCAGCCTTTCATACATATACATACATACACACACACACACACAGTGTAATGTGCAAAACAAATTGAGCCAAGCATCCCAATTTTCATAATATTTAGGTAGGATATCCAGAACACATGCCACAAATGGGAGAGAGGCATAGTTAAGATCCAATGAAGTTCAGACTTAGGCAGCAGAGGAGCCAAATCTCCCATGGGGTAAGAACCACCATGCCATGCGGGCCAGCATGTTTATACAGACAGTAGATTACGAGTATCAAACCCACAAGCTTCAAAAGCAGATATCCGCTCTAATATCTGTTGTGCATTTAATAAAGCAAAGCATTTTTGTTCCTACTGCAAATACAAACATTCATATAAGAAATGTGGAAGTCAAGACAGTGCCCTCGTTTGCTATAGGGGCAAAGAAAAGGCCTGATATGTCAGAAAGAGGGGCTGTTAGCAGGGGGACAGTACTCCAACAGGATCAGTGGGAGGAAGGGGCAGTTCTGGAAAAAGCCCCAGCCCCAATTATTTAGAGGTGTTACTACCTTCTTATGTTATCCTAACAAGACTGTTATACATGGAATGAATTTTGGCCAGGTTTTACAATCCCATATGAGGCAGCAAGATTTCATGTGTGGGTGGAAAACTTGAAGTCTGTTAAAGGATTTGAGCAAATAGTTCAGGAAAAAATTCAGGTGGAGTTAGCAGCTAAACAGGTAGCCGGCCCCTTTTTGAGTTTACTAGTGCCTAACCAACAGATACAGTTCTTGGATGTGGCGTGTAAGACACCTGAAGGAGAGTGTAGGATTACCTACCATTTATTCTACTCTCAAGTCTCCTCTGTGTATCACAATGTAGACCCTCAATTGTGTTCAGTTTGGTATTCCTCATTTAAAACAGTAGTAAGCAATGGTTAGAGAACGTGTACCTGGGCACAGTCAGCAGGTCCAAGCATGCACTAAGCGAGCAAATGTGCTGTTTACTCAAACAACAACAGATGCCCTTGAAACTGAGGTATTCCAAAACTGATAAAACAAGAAAAGGGGCCACAACACAGCTAAGAGAATGCTTGGCTGAACTAGTGTGTCTGTAAAAGCTGTCAAAGCCTTTCTAGACACATGAAACCGGGAGTCAGACCCATTATTTGTGCACAGTGATGGTGGCTACCTGACCAGACAAGTTCACTGAGGTAACGAAGGCATTAGAGCTTACTTA